GCTTTTGCTATCCCTTCTTTGTATTTTGTACTGGGTTTCTTTCATAATTTACCTTTGCTCTTTTTATGACTTTTTTAATAACTCTTTGTTGGGCTTCAAAAGTTTCCCAACCTTCCAGCCTTCAACTCATCTTTATAATATGGTGTGCCTCAGTTTTTCTCTTTACATTCACTGCAGACCATGAATACTTTTACCTCCTCATAATCTTTCTTCCTTTCTAGAATATATTTCAGTTGGGACCAATTGAACATCTCCTTAAACACCTGCCACTACTCATCAACTGTCCTACATTTTAATCTTTCTGCCCTGTCCACTCCCCTCACCACTGACATTCAGTAGCAGCAGTGTACACTATCTACACGATACAAAGCAGAAATTCACCAAAGATCCTTAGGCAGTGCCTTCCAAACTCATGATCACTTTGATCTAGAAGGACAAGAGCAGTAGATACATGGGAGCATCATCACCAGCAAGTTCCTCTCCAAGCCATTCACCACCCGGACTTGGAAATATATTGCCATTCCTTCACTGTTGCTGGGTCAAAATCTTGGAATTCCCTTCTTAAGGGCATTGTCATTCTAGCCATAGCACATTGACTGCAGCAGTTCAAGAAGACAGCTCAACACCACCCTCTCAAGGGCAACTAGGAATGGGCAATAAATGTTGGCCAGCCAATGATGCCCACATCCCATAAGTGAATAAAAAAAAGTCCTTTATCCTCATGCCTATGTAATTACCTTTGTTTAATTTAAGAACACTAGTGTGGAACTCTAGTTTATAGAGCTCTGAATAAATTTGGAAGTCTAGCATGCTATGATTAGTCTTCCCTAGAGGATCCTTTTCTATGTGATTAATTAATACCACCTCATTAGACAGTAATAAATCCAGAATAGCCTTCTCACTGTTTGGTTCCACAAGATATTGCTCCAAGAAATAATCTCTAATACCTTTAATGAACTCTCCCTTGAGGTTTCCCTTGCCAATTTGATTAATCAGGTCTATATGTATATTAAAATATCCCAAGATTATTGCTGTACCTTTCTTACAAGCCTCAGCATTTTTTATTGGTTGGAAACCTAGAGATTACTGACCCCAAGGACTTCTGTTCCTTGCTATTTCTTATTTCTACCCAGACTGATTCTATGCCTTGACCTCCAGTGTTGATATAATTTCTCACTTGAGCACCGACACCACCTCCTTTTCTTTCCTGTTTATCCTTCCGAAATAGATATTCAACTCCAAAACTTGGTCTCCCTGCAACGTCTTATTAATCACCACCAAATCATATGCATTTGCCTGAATTGGTGCTGTTAACTCAATAATTTCCCCCCAAATACTTTGTGCATTCAAATATGAAGCCTTTAAGCTTCTATTATCAAATTTCCCAACTCTAGAATGATTCCTCGGTGCAATGTGATGTTCACACATTCTGTCCCTTTTGTGGTAACAATCAGACTCATCATTAACCTGTTCTCCCACCTTTCCCAACTTTGATTTTCTAATTTTCCAGGCAAGTGAACCCCACCCCCTCCACTATTTCATTTTAAGCTCTATCCACAGCCCTGGTTATGCATTTCACCAGGACTGAGGTCTTAGCATGATTCAGGTACAGCCCATCCCATCAGAACAGCTCCCTCCTTCCCCACGTTGGTGCTGAAGTCCCATCAATTTTAACCCATTTCTCCCACACCAATCTTCGAGCCACATGTTTACCTCCTTAATCTTGTTGGCCCTGTGCTAATTAGCTTGTGACGCAGGTAGTAATCTAGAGATTATTACCTTTACAGTTCAGCTTTCTAATTTAGCCCCTAGCTGCCCATATTCCTGCAGCAGAACTTCTTTCATCTTTCACTATCTTTGGTGCCTACATGGGCCACGACAACTGGATTTTTCCCCCTCCCACTCCAAGTTCCTCTGCAGCCCAGGTAAAATATCCTAAACATGTGCATCAAGCAGGCAATACAGCCTTCAGGACTCTCAATCCTGACCACAGAGAACAATTCCTCTGATTGTACTATCCCCAATTACAACTACATTTCCCTTGACTGGCTCCCTGTACCATGGTGCTATGATCAGTTTACTCATCCTCCCTATAGTTCCCACTCTTGTCAACATGGGGAGCAAGAATCTTGAACTTGTTGAACAAGGATAAGGGCTGAGGCTCCTGCAGCACTAGCTCCATGATCCCTGTTACTTGCCTCATTCATAGTCACACTCTCCTGTCCCTGACCAGTGACTGAATTTGAGGTAGTTAATCTAAGAGGTGTGGCTGCCTTCTGAAATTCAGACTCCAGTTTGTCAACTCTGAGCTGGAGTTCCTCAACCAACATTTGCAACAGATGCGGCATGATGACTCAGTAGTTAGCACTGCTGCCCCACAGAACCAGGGACCCAGGTTCAATTCCAGCCGAGGGTGACTGACTGTGTGGAGTTTGTACACTCTCCCTGTGTCTGCGTGGGTTTCCTCTGGGTGCTCCAGTTTCCTCCCACAGTCCAAAGATGTGCAGGTTATATGGATTGGCTATGCTAAATTGCTCATAGTGTCCAGGGATGAGTCTGGGTGGGATGGTCTTCAGAGACTTGGTGTGAACATCTTGAGCTGAATGACCTGTTTCCAAACTGTAGGGATTCTATGATTTACCCTAATATGTGGGCACTGTGAACCATAATGATCTCCAACTCCCACATCATACTTGGCCTTGCATTTTGACTTTACTTAGTTCTTAATTTTTTTTTATCATACTGGTTTGTAATCTGTAAAGTATTTCTCTTATTTATCTTTAATCTGACAGTATCATATTAGTCAAATTAGCAGCTATTATCACCCAATTAACTGACAGTTTTCCTGTGTTGCCACTCTTTGATTTTTGCTGGGCCCCCAATCCTGAGCTTCAATTTATTGTGTTAAAAGACTTTACAAACTATGAACCAAAAAACCCCAAAAAGTACTTCTTCCCCACTGCACCAAATTCCCATACTGATCCAAAATCCCAGAAACACGCACTCACTCAGTCTGTGCCTCACTTTGGATGTAATATCTTTCAACTTCTCAACTGCTCATGCAAAGCTTACTATTGCTACTCTCATAGCCATCAGGCCTCTAAGTGTTTTAAGAAGGTAAAAGAGCAGACAGATAACAGCAGAAGATTGAGCACGAGCTAGAAATCTCTCAGAAAAGCAAATCAATTTTGGATATGGGAAAATCTTTGGTAGAATATTGTCATTAGTTGAGTTAGAAGTCAGAATGGACAAGACTAAGCGAAAGTGTATAACATATTTCCCTTCATTAAGGTTGACTTAGAAGTAATTAATGTTGACATTTGATGTCCAAAATGGAGAAATTTTCCAAAACCTTGTACTAAAACGTCATCTTATGGATATCAATATATTTATACATTGAATGAGTCGCACAGACAAATTCAAACCCTGGTGTCTACTGAGTTTTACAGTCTCACCAAGGCTATACTGTAAGTTATATTGTGCTGGGTTAGGGTATTCACCAACAATGTCCATCCATGAATAATGGCCTTTGTGTACCAAGTGTATCAATGCCTGTACAAAAATATTTCAGCAAGGCATCAACTTTCACAAGCTTTACAAGAAGAGGGGAGAAATTGGCAAGAAAAATTATTCAATTCCCTTTTGTTCATTGATTTAATTTTCAAATCCACTAGTGCATCACAATACACTTACAATGCCCCCCAATTTATTAGTGGTATTTTGGAGGATGAAGCTTTCTTTGGTGTTGACAATAGTCGTATTAATCTAAATGTTATTGTTTATCTCTGTACTTAGGACTAATATTCTTGCATTGCATGTGATACTTGGTGCTTAGTTTTATCAAATACGCATGCTATTTTAAATGCTACTTTTGCACTCTGGTTAATTTTTTCATTAGTTTCATACCTAAATCTAACACTTTCAAGGGCATGGTTCCGCAAGGACAAAAAGCTCTTGGACTTCGCCTAAAATGTTAATTCCTAAATATAAGCTGACTAGTGACCATTGGTATTTAGTCAAATGTGGTCCCTCAGAACTCACTTCAGACCTAGTCTCACAGTATGGGAGTATGAAAATATAGCTTTATACCCCTCTGGGCCACTGGAGCTAATTATAGCACATCACAACTCACTTCAGACAGAACAGGTTTCAAGTCAGGAAGCTATTGAAAGTGTTAGATTTAGGTATGAAACTAATCACAGTGTCACAATACATTTATCCACTGATGCTCTTGGTATGCGTGCAGCACAATTTTAGTTCAGCCAGATCTGTGGCTGAGAGATTGTAACCTGATAGCTTTCACGACATTCAAATATGTCTTGATCTCCATAATATTTATTTTTGATTTAAATGGTGACACAATCAAACTCCACAATTTACATACTTATTCAAATGCCGATTAGGTAAAGTTACTTAATTGATCTTTAGCTGGATCATATCCTGGAAACAGTTGTTGCTTTTAGATCTGAGAAACTTATGAGAAAACTAATATTTTCTTTAATTCCTTAACAACCTGGTGAATCTCCTAAGACATTATTCATGGTTTATCTCAATGAAATGTTTGCTCTACCGAGCTGAGATCTGCCAGCTCTGGACTAGATAAGAATTACAGACTATATGATCATTTGATTCTTGCTTCCTGTTTGCAGCTCTATAGGCAGTACCATCACTGTGAGTGTTACCCATTAGCTTAAATGGACTGAAGTGTGACAACTGAAGTCTTTAACATATTGTAAATTCACACCAACTAAACATATTATTTTCCATAAGATTGTCTGACTTTCACACTTGTTTAAATATTACCATATTTTGTATGCACTATCAGCATCTGTCACTTTCTCCTCTCCCTCCTTTTAATGGCGTACACCAATTTCACATATGGTGAATCTAATCTGCAATTAATATTTTGATGCCTTGGCTAATATTTGTTACAGAGAAAAAGAATTATTCCTGACAAAAACACAAACATTGAAACAAATGATAAATCTTAAGAAAATATGTTCCTAGAACAAAATTGCTGTTTTATTCGAAGAAAATGCAATTGTTTATTGTGTTATCATTACACATATATCTTAATTATGTCAATATGCATTGGTACTGATACATACTTCAGAGGCACATTGTATCTGTTAAGCTCTTTATTTATATATTGCACATTGTGATAATTGACAGTTATTTGGTGCAGATTTTAGATTGAGGATTTTTTTTACTTAAATTCATGACTGGTGTGTTATTTGATTAACATAAATCAGCAAATATGCTTTATCTTTAGGTGATATACCTCATATGATCAGTCATGTTAAATGCACTTATTACTGAGGCAGGATAATGATTCACACTCTTCAAGTGCAAGTGCTTAGCATTCTGCATACATCACATTCTGCTCTATAAGTTACCATAATGCATTTGACGCCTCTTTTGTGAGTACCTATTGCTTGTCAGACCCTTGTGTCATAACAGGGTACAATATTATCATAACCACTTTTCTACATTATTCACTTTGTTTCTTGAGCCAGTGTTCTTTGGTAATTCTTTTCTCTCCACAATACAATCTTTCCACCTTTCATTCCTCGGCTTTTTTAGTTTTGTCTGCTGTTTTTGTCTCTTCTTTAGTACTGGAAGTCTTCTCTGACTTTCCCTCTTTGTCATCTTTAACTTGTGTTTCTTCCTTAACTTCAGATACTTTGGCCTTTATAGATTCCTTACTAATTTGTTCTTTTTCTGTTTCTTTGTCTTTTTGAATGTTAGTTGATTCTGGGGCAGATTTCTTTTCTTCTGTTTTTGTTACTTCATCCTTTGTTTCTTTTTTACTCTCTTTACTTTGATCTGTAACTTTGTCTTTAGCTTCTACTGTCTTCTCAGCTTCCTTTACTTTTGTTGTGGGATCTGGTGTAGTTGGTTCTACTTTTGTACTTTTCTTTGATTCTTCTGTTTTTTCGATTTTCGCTTGAGGCATGGGGTCTTCTGTACCAGAGCCTTTCTTTTCTTTAGCTTCAGGCTCTGGCTTTGTCTCTTTCTTTTCCTCAGCTTTGGGCTCTGGCTTTGTCTCCTTCTTTTCCTCAGCTTTGGGCTCTGGCTTTGTCTCTTTCTTTTCCTCAGCTTTGGGCTCTGGCTTTGTCTCTTTCTTTTCCTCAGCTTTGGGCTCTGGTTTTGTCTCTTTCTTTTCTTCAGCTTTGGGTTCTGGCTTTGTCTCTTTCTTTTCCTCAGCTTTGGGCTCTGGTTTTGTCTCTTTCTTTTCTTCAGCTTTGGGTTCTGGCTTTGTCTCTTTCTTTTCTTCAGCTTTGGGCTCTGGTTTTGATTCTTTTTCATCTTCATCTGGTTTCGAGGGTTCCTCAGCCTCTTTTTCCTTTTCTACTTTTGATGTTTCTTTAGGTTCTGTCTCCTCTTCTGTTTTGTCTTTCTCCTTATCTTCTTTAGCTTTTGGTGTAGGTTCAACTGGTTTGATTTCATCCACTGGTTCTTTTTGATCTTTGGTAGAATCTGCTTCTTGCTTTTCCCTTGGGTGCTCCTTTTCATCCTCTTCCTCTACTATTTTTTCCTTCTCAATTACAGTTGTTTTTGTTTTATCTTCTTCAACTTCTTCAGGCTTTGTGTCTTCCTCTTCCACAGCTTCTTCATCAGATTTTATTTCTTGGTCACTCTTCTCTGCTTTTTCATGCTCTTCCTCTGCTGCTTCTTTGGCTTTTGCCTTTTCATCTTCCTTTGAAGCTTCCTCCTCATCTTCCTTTCCTTCTTCAGCCTTTTCCGTTTCTTCAGTTGTGGGTGTCTTTTCATCCATTTGTTCCTCTGCAATATCTTTGCCTTTGTCCCCTGGCTTGACCTTTTCTACAGACTTGGTTTTAATATGGTTTGGCACTGTAGGAACTTTATGATCTATATAAGGATAGGGAGATGTCCCAATAAACCTTGATTCTTCACCCTCGAGGAGTTTCCTTTCCAAAAGAAAGTAACAACGATTATTATTAATAATAAAGTTGCCTGCAAATTTAATGCTCTGTTCCTTTGTCACAGTGTTTACGCATTAGAGTTAAAAGACAAGGAGTACTCAACACAAAGCAAATTTTGGCAAATTCTAGAAACACACAGTAGATGGGTATCTGAAACAAAACAGGGTTCTAACTAATCCATCCCATCTTCCTCACTCACCTTTTAGTTATTTCTAGTTTTATTTTTATTCAATATCATTTGTTGTCCAAATCCAATTAATTATTTGTCTTCCTTTCTTTTGTGATGCTTCCCGATTAGGTTTCCAAAATTTGAAACCTAGCGCCCATTATGCAACGTCGGCTCTACATTCCTATTTTTGCATCAAAACAACGTTATAATTATTACATTATTTAAGGCACGATTATCTGGTATAAATATGTTGTCAACTGTTATCTTATTTGTCCTTTCCTTTTGACATTTAGACCAATTTCTCTCAAACTCGCTCCCGTGAAGCAAATTTGCACTCCACACATCCACGCACTGGATTTACCTGTAAGCTGCGATTTCGATATCCAAAGCCATTTTAACATTGAGCAAATCTTGGTACTCCCTGAGTTGCGCAGCCATTTCCCATTTTATGTTCCTCAATTCGTTTTCCAGCTGCTGAGCCGCTTCCTACAACGACAAACGCGTTAAAGAAATCAATCGTTAGGCGCATCGAAACCTTTCCACTGTTGTCAAATTCGATTGTACTACTGGACGAACGTGAAGACTTGGGAACTTAAGAAAAAACGCGATTCCACTGAAGTTTAATTAGACTAACTTTGATGGTACACGGCATAACCCAACTACTTTTTCAAGGCCAATTCTAGAAGTTTAGCAAACTTAAGAAAACGTAATTCCACGTGATATATTAAAGTTTAACGAATTTAATTAGATTTATTTCGTTACAAAAAAAATGAATAATACTTCATATTCCCTGAACTGTCGATACTGCAATTTGGGCCAAGTAGTTGGGTCACTGAAGACGCAATGTCTACCTGGTAACTGGAGAGATCTGCATTGTGCCTGTCCTCCATCTCATACATTTGCCTCTCCAGGGAGTCTTTAGTTCCTTTGAGAGTCTCCAACTCGGTGTTCTTGGACTGCAGATGTCTGCGATACTCTAAGATTTCGTCCTGGGCTGCGTGGATGGCGTCCGTGTTGACCTTGGCGGCCTGGTTCAGCTTTTCCAGCTTGACCCTGAAGACCTCCTCGGTCTGGCTGGTGGTGGTGACGGCGTGGCCTTCCATCTGAGCCCGGATCTCCCGCAGGGCGGCGGTGATGTCCGACTTGAGGGAGTCCCTGACCTCCAGGGTGACCTGCGAGCCCTGGATCTGACTCAGCAGGTCCCTCACCTCGTCCTGGTGGCCGGCCCTCATGGCGGACGCCTCGTCGCTGAGGAACTGCAGCTTCTTGCCCAGGTCGAGCTTCAGCAGGCCGGCGTCCTCGGCGTACTTGGCCAGCGAGCGGACGCTGGCGTCGATCTCCTCCCGCAGGCGGCTCTCGTCGTCGTACCTCTGCCGGACGTGCTGGATGTCCTCGTCCAGGTGCTCCTGCTCGAGTTGGAGCTGAGCCTTGTCATTGCTGACCTGTACCAGCAGGGTGCGCAGGTCCCGGATTTCCCGCTCGTACAGCTCTCCGATCGCCGAGCGACCCGCCTGCTGCTGCCTCAGCGACGCCGCCTCGGCCTCCAGGTTCTTGTTCTGCAGCTCCAGGCTCCTCACCTTGTCGATGTAGGTGGCGAAGCGGTCGTTCAGGGCCTGCAGCGTCTCCTTCTCGTTGCGCGCCCTGGCCTCGCCGTTCAGGAGCGCCACCTCGCCCAGGCTCTCGCTCGAGACGGTCACCTGCGAGCCGAGGCCGCCCGCCGACCGCTTCGACGCCGGCACCGAGCCGACGCTGCGGGACCAGCTGTGCGAGTAGAAGCCGCTGCTGGCCAGGGAGCGGGAGGCGGCCGAGCGGGCCGGGTCTGCCCCCAGCGCCCTGCGGTAAGAGCTGGCGCTGAGCATGGTGTCCAGGCTGTAACTCATCGCACCGTGGGAAGGCTCGCACTGCAGTGGCACGGAGAGGGAGGAGGCTGCGCCTTTTATACGCCGCAGAATGTGCGAACTTGGCAGGAACCGTATTCCAGCGACGTCTCAGCTCACCAATCTGCTGAAGATGTCTCTCTCCCCACCCTATCTCCGAAATATAACTACCTTAACCAGACCAGGTTACACTTACTTCGACTTTACGGACCAAGGTAGCGACATAAATTCTTGAGTGAAATTATCCCCCACCCAATCCCAATTGCATGCAAACCGCAGATCTGGGAATTTCATTATTTTAAGACAATAATGTGAAAACGTGACAGTCAGGTTTAGTGACCAAAAACAAAAATTCGTTTGCTATTGTTTTGCATTTTGTCCTGATCCCTCGTTCTATTCCGCATCGTCATTAATTATTCAGCTTTTAAATCTACTACCGCACCAACTCTGGTAAATTGAAGCCATTGTAATATAGTTTGTATAATGCATCTCAGTGTGTATGCATTTATTAGCGCTTGTAAAAGTTTATACCACTCGGTTGAAAGATCTGAGCTTTTTTTAACCAATATTATGTCAAATGCGATGGAGGGAATTAGTAGCTTTTATTATTTTTCTGCTACACGGGCAAACAAAAAGCGCAGCGCAAACACGCGCACGAAAGTTTTGGGTTTCTTGCAAAACCGAACGTATTTTCAGCACTGTACTTCCGAGACAGCGCCTTCCGCAGTGTCGTCTTTTACGAAGGCGTGTTTTTTTATTGCAAAGTGAGACATCTTGTAAGCTGTCTCAAGCTTTATCATTAAATATATCAAGACATGATAAAACAAAAACAAAATGGAAGTTGCATTTTTTTAAAAGTTGCAAACAGATCAAAAGCCGGGTAAATCTGATCGCTGAACAGCCACCATAATTATGCAAGTTAGTCATGTCACTAGACTGGGTGGTGTTGCCAGCCGTTAAGTGAATCCCATGTTTGGACCGAGCTCTTAAGAGTACATAAATCCGTTCGATGTCAATCTTATCTAGGAGTGCAATTAATTTTAAAGCATTGTATAGTGAGTAGTAAACATTATTAAATGCCTGGTAAATGTATTTAACAATGAAAATCCTTCCCCTCATTATTTGAGTGGAAGATTCTCCAATCCATTGAAAAGCAATAGAAGCTTTATCTTGCAGCTGTGACGCGTTAGTTTTAATTATGCATAAGAGAAAATATGATGGTATGTTTAAATTCGAACAATAGAGTATCTCAAATGCTTCAAAGAGAGGTGAAGGGAAAGTGGACGCTTGCTTAAAGGAGCAGAGACTAGGACAAAGAAAATAGCATTATGTTTCATCTGTGAGTTTATAAAGCGTCCGTTAACGGGCTATTTGTTATGGGGATGGCATTTTTGCCCTGCCTGTCTATATCTGATCACTAAATACCACTGCAGGTAGCTGTTCCACCCCCACCATCCCATCCTTTCCACTCAAGAGGTAATGTACCCCATTGTAATACTTTACTCTAATTTCTTTTTGGAAGTCAATGTAGAATATAATGGTTTGCAAAAGTGATTTGCAAAAAAGAACAGAAAAACCATTTGTCTTTCAATTGACCTCAAATGAGGCTGTGCCGGCCACAGTTCCAGCCTGGTAACAGAGATAGTATATTATGTTACAGTGATTTCTGCCTCCCTGCCTCTGCATGGTAAGGCCACGTTGTAACAATTTGTTGCATAAAAATTTTTCTCTGAGCCTCTTTCTGTATGCTTTCAGTGACAATTTTGTATGGATAGTCCTCATTGTGGCTCCAAGTGAAAAAAATAGTCTTTCCATATTTATGCTACTTAAAAATTAATATCAGCTTCAAAACTCTTATTAATTCTGATTTTCCTATGCTCAATAATAGTCTCACTCTTTGTCCCAAATCACAACTTTATAATCTCAATTCTGATATGATCCTAGTAAAACTATGCTGAATACTGTCTGTGGTTTTAAAATATTTTCTGTGATGGAACACATAAAGCTTAACATACAAAATTTTAATAGTGCACACTTTTATTGTCACCTTGATGATTTTGGACTCTATACTCTGATTGCTAAAACTGACAATGTTTCTCTTTTTTTTTCTGTGTTTTGTTTTGATCCAAATCATTAACTTTTTTTAAAAATTCACTCAAGTGACACGGGCATCGCTGGCTGGCTAGCATTTATTGCCTGCCCATAGTTGTCCTTGAGAAAGTAGTGGTGAGCTGCTTTCTTGAACTGCTGCTGTCCATTTACTGTAGGTTGACTCACATGCCCTTGCGGAGGGAATTCAAGGATTTTGATCCAGCAACAGTAAAGGAATGGTGGTATATTTCCAAGTCAGGATGGTGAGTAGCTTGGAGAGGAACTTGTAGGTGATGATGTTCCCATATATCTGCTGCCCTTATTCTTCTAGATGGAAGTAGTTGTGGGGAAGGTGCTTTCTAAGGATTTTTGGTGAATATCTGCAGTGTATCTTGTAAATGGTACACACCGCTGCTACTGAGCGTCAGTGCTGAAGGGAGTGGATGTTTGTTCATGTGGTGTCAATCAAGAGGGCTGCTTTGTCCTGGATGATGTCAAGCTTCCTGAGTGTTTTTGGAGCTGCACCCATCCAGACAAGTGGGGAGTATTCCATCCCACATCTGACTTATGCCTTATAGATAGTGGACAGGTTTTGTTTTCTCCAAGGCCAATACCACCCATTCAGTTTTAATGTTTTATTCATGCCTGTAACATGGCTGGTTTGGGTGCAAAATCAATGTGATACTGGTATTTCTTTTTATCCATACCACTTTAAAGGATTGCTGAATCATTCTCCAGTTGGTACCTCCTACACATTACACTTATTTTTCCAGACCTATGTTATGTCTGCCTTCCTGGATCTAATTTGTGCTATTCTGCACATAGACCCTTTATCCCTATGCAGTTTCTGCTATGTTATCATCGGTTATGCCTCCAACTACATTGTTGTTTGGAACATAAGAAGTTCTAAGCCTGGAGGAGGCAAATCTGAGGCACTACAATACTGCTACTTACAACATGCATGGGATAAGACTACATAAGTGGGTATCTTTCTGTACAATTGTGTGGTTAATAATTTTGGTATGTTTCAGGATTTTTTGATTTAAAGAATTAAAATATTTTAGGACTATAGCTTTAAGTAGGTTAGGTGAAAGGAAGTTGGAATCAAAGGCAACAGATCAGCATTTCCACTTACATACAAAGCTAATTTCCCCCACAATCATGGGGTGAAGGATGGAGGAAACCATTTTCAGATCTAGTTACAGTTTCCCTATAAACCCAGGGTATCATGAATAGTTACAGTTTATCTTGGGTGGTCTGTAGCCATTTCAGAAATAGCAAGAGCAAAATGCAGAAGCAGCTAGGGCTCCAGTTCAAACAATGAAATTGCTGACTCAACTGTCCACATGCACAATGTAGGTGGTTGTTTCTACTCAGATTGAAGACCAGATCCATGAGAGAAGACTGGAAGATTTGCCTAGCTTGAAACTAGAAAAGAAACCTACAGCATAACTGTCACCATGAGACATAGACATGAGACTTTGGACTACCTCGCTGGGAAAGTAAAATAGGAAACTAGGAGCAATTGGAAACTTATTGTGCTGAGAACTGTAATTCTGCGGGGATTGTGATTTGTGCTTATAGTGTATATTGTCTATAGCTTAAAGCTTATGGTATATATTGTCTATCAAAGGAAATAATATTTAGTCAATTGATTTTATTTAGTGATTTGCTTCAGTAAAAGTTTTAAAACATGAAATCCTAATGTGCTAGTATTTCAGCCAGAAATTCAAATTTCTCTTTAAAAGTTAGTGGTATCTTTGGAAATTGTAACAATTGATGCGAGTTTATAATGTGAAACATTGACATAGGATGCAACCAGAAGGATTTGCAGGCAGTAAATGAGAAAGAGTGGTGATCCAAAGAGATTTGAGATTCTTGTATGTTGATCATTAAAATATCATAGAGAGGTACAGAATTGATCAGAAAAGTTAATGGAATGCTAGTCTTAATATTTAAAGGACTAGAGAATAATCAGGCTGAGGTTATGCTACAGCTTTGCATACCCTGGTTAGACTTCTGCTGGAACACTGTTAATAGTTTTGGTGCTGCACCTTAATTGATCTTGTAGGAAATACAACACAGACTTACCAGATACCTTAATCCCAAATGTTATCTGTGAAAATCTTATAGAAACTTGGGGTTAATTCCCAGAAATTAAAAGATATGGGGAAGATTTGGTTCAAGTTTTCAAGATAATAATAGAAACTGATGGGATAGATATAAACCATTTTTGCAGGTTTGGTTGTCCAAATCTGGTGGAGCCAAGCCTAAAAAGTAGAGCCAGGCATTTCAAAAGTGAAATTCGGAAACATTTTTTCACGCAAAGTGAAATTGAACATGCCCTATGTTCTGCAAACAACAGGTGACTTTAAATTTAAGATTGACTGAGTTACATTATCCAAGGGTTCTTTTTATGGTGCAAAGGTGCATGTATGAAATAAGGTCAGCCATGCTATTACTGAATGACTCAACAGGCTGCACGGTCAAAATAGCCTGCTGTTGTCTGTGTTCCGAAGGAGTGCATGCAGAACGCTTTTAAAATATTGTCATAGATGGTGCCGTTTACATACTTTAAATCAACTATGTGCAGTGTGTCTGTGTGTTTTAAACGACAATAATGACGTGAACAGTCCCGTCAAAAAGCATCCATATCCTGATTAGATCCAATAAATGTTTCATTCCAGTGTCTTTTGGTAAACCCGTTTTAGTTCAAAACGTAATCGAGATATAAGCGAAGCCCATGAGTTAGTCAGTCGTTTGATTAAGTTTCACAATTAAGTTTGTTACAATTTTCCGGTATGTTTGGATTTCTGATAATCCTGCGTACGTTGATTCATCTAGAAATAAAGTTGGCTCTTTTACCAAACCATTTCTGTCACATAAAATCCGTGAAGACGGATTAAATTTATAAATTCGTTGATGCCTGACACAATATTCAGACGCTTAAAATTAACTTAATGGATC